AAAAAAAAAAAAAAAAAAAAATACTAAGGAAGGAAGACCGGTTCCCGCTTACTGGCTGAGCGAGGTGTGGGAGCAACACCGAGGGTTGCGATCCCGTTGCCGGTCCTGGTCCGGTGCGGGCGCGACACTGAGGGTTGCGATCCGTTGCCGGACACGAAAAAAGACAAAAAGGAAAAAAAAAAAAAGACTAAGGAAGGAAAAGAAAAAAATGAAAGTAAGAATAAAAAGGAAGGCAGTAAAAACAGGCACAAAGGATATAAGATAGTATTTCTTCAAATGGCTAAATGTTAATGAATTGGAAAATCTCCATGAAATACATTTTGGGGAAAAGTGAAAATGGAAAACTTGCAACTAGGAGAAAGAGAAGACTGGATTAGGACAGTGTCCATTAAAGGCCATCCCCAGCTAGAAGCTCCAGGTCCAGGGGCCTTCAAGTCAGGGTTCACTTTCATGGTCAGGATTGTCTTTATCCTTTGCAAGAAAATAAGCAGCGGAGCTGATGACCCACTTAATGTGGTTAGTATAACCTTGTCTCCAAAACCAGACAATTGCATTGCAAGGTAATAAAATTTTAGGCCTATTTCATTTGTGACCATAGATGCAGAAATCCTAGATCAAATGTTAAATTTAAAAAAAGAGAGAAAGAAACAGCTGTCATTCATCATGCTCTTTAAGAAAAAACCCGCCACTCACCCCTTTGAGAATTCTTTCCCCTTATCATTTGTGTTCCGCTTTGCAATCATCTCTCTGACCCTTTTTTTTCTTCTTTATTGCCCCTGAAGACAATGCACAGGTCTTTTTTGTAGTCAGCGTTTTTGCTGCAAATCACGAGAACAGGGCAAACAAAATGATCTCAGTGGGTAAACTACTCAAGTTCCAAAATCTCACCAAGTTTATATGCTGAAGGTTCCAGGTTTGTAGTTTTGACTTCTTTCTGAGATGGTCAATGAGAGACGGTCGATGAGTGAGGAAGAGGCTCATTAAACACGTCCTTCCTCCAGGCCATTCCCACATGGAGACCTGCAGAGGCCTCCAGGGCACCATATAAAGCTCCTTGAGTGAGATGGAAGTTGGCATTTCTGAGGATCTCCAGCCAAGTGACCCTCATCCCAACATGGCCTGTTTCCCACTTCTCACTGCAGGAAAGCAGGTCCTTAGGGTACCTTCCTGTGGGAAGCCGTTTTAACCTGCAGAACACAGAATTCCAGAAGCAAGGAACATCTTTTATGAAGCAGACGTTCCAAGTGTGGACAGAGTTGGGCCACTGGTTCACACACACTCTTTGTGCCAGCTGTTTAGAGGCACCCCTGGAGTGTGAGCCTCGAGATTGCCATTCCTAAGAGACTTTTGGAATTTCTGGCTCTGAGAGATGTGGGGGGAACTTCTCTCTCCTTTGGCTTCTAGACATTTGCAAATAATTAGTTAATGATTTAATTGCTCCCTTCTCCAAGTTGCTTTGAATGTGTGTCATGGGCCAGAAAGATGGGTACATTAGGAGAGGTGGGAGAGATGTGGTAGGGGCAAAGGCAGGTTGACAGGTAAGTTTTTATCTGGAGGATTGGGGAACAGGTTAATGAGCACCCCTGACTTTGAAGATGAATTCTGCATCGCTTAGATAAGATGAAAATGAGTATTCTTCGTGCACCCCCATCCTGGAGAGAGCTGAGGGAAATATTGGCTGTGTGCCTCTTTTATTAAAGAGTTTGGAAGCTAAATGCTTCTCTGAAGATTCCCACGTCCCAAACAGACCAGGAGTTAACTTTTTCTATACCACATGCTTTGATCAGAGGTAGCACTAAATACAGGGAACTAGGAAGTGTGTGGGGAAATGGACATGAAGTGGGAAGAAATGGCTAATGTTGGGGATCTGAACTAATACGAACTAAGCTTGTGAAAAATACCTCTGAAGGTTGCTGGAGTCCTGCTGCTCTGATGACCTTTCGTTGAAATTATTTCTGCAGGTAATCACAGCTGGTTTATCAATATTGCTGTTTGATGTGATCCTGACCAGTGCAACCGTGGGGTGGTAAGTCTTTTGCACAGAGAGAAACTACAAATTAGTTTTTTGGGTTTCATCATGATACTAATTTTTGCCCTCAAATGTTGAAGGAAGGATGTGTATTTGGTGTATGTCTCCATCTAAATGTGAATCCCATGTTGGCGAAGGTTTCTTTTTTTAAAAAAAACTATTTTATTGACATATAAATATATGCGCATTCAGAAGGGTATGTATATCATAAATACACAATTTGGTGAACTTTCACAAATGGAACATTCCATACATATTGTACCCAGCATTTGCCCATTCACAAAAAAGTAGACACTGTTGGTGAGCCACTACCCACATATGCATATATACATACATATATGTGTGTGTGTGTGTGTGCGTGTATATATGTGTGTGTACAGGGGAGGCTTGTGGGAGAGGTGGCAGTAGTAGATGAGGTGGCAGAGCGTGTGGGGCTGTGAAGTCCATTGGAAGGGCTTGGCTCTACCTGAGAGAGCTGGGAAGCTCCCGTGTTAAAGATGCATCCTCTGCCGTGTGGAGAACAGGCGGTGGGGGGTGCGCGGAGGAAGCAGAAAGATCAGACAGGGCTCTGGCGAGTATCTACGTGCAAGATGATGGTGACTGGGATCAGGCTGAAAGCTGTGGAGGTGGCAAGAAGTGCTAGGATATCTGAGGCAATAGGACTTGAGAGAAAGAAGGGTCGAGGATGGCTTATAGGCTTTGGGCCCGAGCAATCGGAAGAAAGAAGTTGCCTTTCACAGAGGTGGGGACTAATATGTGAAGAGCATAGGTTTGCAAGGTGGCAGTGGAGGTGTATCGGAGGTGGACATAGTTAAGCTGAGGTGCCCGTTATACCTGGGATGGAGATGTCAGTAGGTAGTTGGCTCAGTCGGTGTGGGAGGCAGGGGAGGGGCAAGCCTTTCTGTGCCTTGACCATGGTGTGCACATTCCCACCAGAGCCTTTGGGCTCGTCCACTCAGCCCAGGATGCTTCCTCCCAGCATGTAGTTGGCTGCTGACCTTTCATCCTCCATCCAGGTGACCTCAGAGAGGCTTCCCTGACCATACCCTAGGTAAACCCCCCTAGCTGTTTCCTGTTGCCTGGTTTATTTCCTTCCCGACAGCGCTGCCCTTGGTGACCTTGTCTGTTCATTGTTCTACTGGTTGGGGTCTGCCTCCCTCAGAGAAGGAGCGCAGTAGGACTCCGGGGTGGCAGGAGAGAGCTGGAGAAGGGCATCCAGTGAGGGAGGACTGGAGCAGGCGGGCCCTTTGGAAGATGGCCAGGGCAGCCGGGGTGGGGGAGGATGGCTGTGGAAACGTGGTGACCTGCCATCTGCAGGAGGACCTGAGGAGGTAGATGTGGCCATTGTGATGTGAGTTCAGGACACACCTTCTGGAGAAGGCCACATAGCCAGCACCATAGCCCTTGAAGCCTGCAGCTCATGAGGAGGGTTTGGCTGACTGATGACAAGGTCATGTAGAGTCTGCTCAAGGAAATGTAACTGCCACAGCATGACTCAGTGTGGCCAGTGCTCCTAGGCCCGCCTGTGAACTTGTGTGGGACCATGTACCTCTTGCTGGAAGGCCAGTTGGTCATGACCGAATTAGGGACAGAATGAAGCGATCATGTGGGTTTCACTTCTGCACTCTCTACCCAAGACTCTGCCCATTGGAGAGCCGACTGGTTACGAGTTTTATCTCCTCCAGATCGCTGATGTTCAGGCCGTGGATGGGTCAGACCGTGGGTTTCGGCTGTGGTCTGCAGGGGGTGCTCACGCCGGGGAGGCAGTAGCACAATTGAGACTGTGGAACTGCTCATTGCCGTGCTCATCGACGGGCATGTGCTAATTTGCGGAATGTGCACTTAGTGTTTTTAAACAACAGTCATATGTACTATCTGGAAGATGTTGAAAATAATACAGAAATACATCAAGTAGAAAGGAAAGGTCTCTCCTCCTTCACTGCCTCGGTCGCCTCTCCCCGGAAATGACCACAGTTTGGTCTCACAGTGAGAGCACTGTCCAGTGTTGGTCAGGGATTATATTCCAGGTTCCCCGACCAGGTTTTCCCTCCAGGGAGGGATTAGATTTGCAGGCCCAGCCACAACAATGTTTCCTAAAATGAAGCCACACTGAATGGTGCTTGGCAAGCGAGACGCCATGTTGTCCTATGTGAATAGTTCCATCCTTGGTCAATTTTCGGCCAGCCTCCAGGTGCCAGCTGGTGACATATAGCTTTCCTGCCTATGACCCTGTGCTCCCTACCAGGCCCGAGTCACTAGTGCAGCACATCGTGTAGAATGACTCATATTTGTTGTTACTGTTCACTGGTCTTCTCTCTTTTGTTTTAAAAAGAAAAATAAGCTTTGGGCCACTTTAGGGTAATGTCTCTTTCCATCCCAGGTTCGAGTTATCGTGTGGCAGGTTTTCTCCCCCACAGGATGGCACTACAAAATTGAAGTGTGGACAGGTTTTAGAACGGGTTTTTACATTTCTTTACCAGTACTGTCAGGAAAGAAGAGGCATGCTATTGCTTACCTTTGCCCAAGTAAAGCATGGCTCTAGAAAGTAAGTATTTTCCCCATGCCTGGGATCAGAGTGATCCCAATAGCTCATTTCCCTGTCCCCCCTCCCCCCCCCCCCATTTTTCTGCATTTGTTTGCAAGCTGGACCTGCTGAATTGTCACTTATTCAACTCAGGACCGCAATGCTGGTTGATGGGGGCTGGCACAGTGTCTGGGTGTGCCCGGATGTGCCCATGCCAGCGTCCTATCTCCCAAGCCTTCTTGTAGGAAACGCCCTTGGGTGCTGTCATAACTACAGTAACAACAGTGTTACTTTTAAACATCAGTAGGAGGTTCTGATGGGATAAAGTGAGGGGCAGGGCCGGTAGCCCTATGGAATACCAGGATAAGGAAGTCCAAGAGGTGAGCTCGCACCTGGTGGGGCCCTGGGCTGAAAAGCTTCGTTCAGTAAACAGATATTTACGAAGGGCTTAATATGTGCCAGGAACCACTCTTTTATAAAAGTAAAAAATGACTGCCTCTGTGGTGTCTGTAGATGCTTATCTCCCTGTCTGAGGCTAAGGTCATCTCAGACTGACAGAAATCAATATTTTTGCTCATGACACTCAGAATAAGGGATTCCCAACCTCTCTCAGAAGCTGCTAATGGGGGCATTTCCTGCCCCAAGAAGAAAAATGGAAAGAAAAGAAAAATTAGGAACTACCCCTACACCTTCCTTTTCTTCTTGCTCCTTCTCCTGTCTCCCCTCTCCCTTCTAATCATAAATACTAACCATTTATTGAGCAAGTACTATGCTTTAGACATTTTTACTTTAATGCTATCTTATTTACTTTTACAACCACTCTGAGTTACTCACATTTTAAAGATGAAGAAGCTAAGGTTCGGAGACATTTAAGTGATTTTGAGAAAAATGGAAAGAAAAGAAAAATTAGGAACTACCCCTACACCTTCCTTTTCTTCTTGCTCCTTCTCCTGTCTCCCCTCTCCCTTCTAATCGTAAATACTAACCATTTATTGAGCAAGTACTATGCTTTAGACATTTTTACTTTAATACTATCTTATTTACTTTTACAGCCACTCTCTGAGTTACTCACATTTTAAAGATGAAGAAGCTAAGGTTCGGAGACATTTAAGTGATTTTCCCAGGATTTCCTAGCTGCTAGGTAATTGGACCACGATTCAAACCCAGGTCTCTGTGCATACAAAGCCCCATAACCTGCCAGAGCTGATTTGAGAAACACTAAGGAATTACTGGCAGTATAGGTAATGTGTAAGTGGAAGCTTGTAAGGGAGGCGTAAGGGAAATTGGCCCAAATGTTTCTCTTGCCACCACTGTGATCATCTGTAAAGAGCATCTAGAGGAGTCAACAGCTAAACAGAGAGCATTACCCAGGACAGAGCAGTTCTAATTCTGGTTCAGGGGCTGACTCGGCAAACTGAGAATGTCCAGTGGAACATTTTGAGGCAAAAAAATCTCACTGTCTTAGATTTTTAATTCCATAGCTATAATCCTATCAATTGGTTATATTTATTGAGTGACGGCTGTATGCCAAGTATGTGGAAGCCATTGAGAAGTATAAGACATCATCCAACCCTAAAGGGATATTCAGGGGAAAGGAAAGACAAAAAGATAATTTATGGGATGGAGAGGATAGTAATTGTTTGAATGCCCAATGCATGTGAAGACTGAAGGAGGGAGAGAGGACAGGAGTGCTGGAAGGGAGGGCCTTGGACCTGGCTTGAAACTGGGCTGCATAGAAGGGAGAGGATTAGCTAAGTGGAGGGAGAGGACTTGTCCCTCTCACCCAGGGGAAGCAGGGCACGAGGGAGAGGTGGGACATGTCCATGGGGAGACTCAACAGTTTGTAACTGGAGCTGGGCTGTGGGGCAAGAGCTAATCCCAGCTCCCTCCTCCTTTCCCCGCACCTGGCCCCGGGGCAGTGAGGCCACACATGGTGGCAGACTGACATCCGGAAACCCAACCTCCGAGAGCAGGAACCTTTATCTCCTGATACATCCTGAGACTCTTCCCCAGATTTGTGTATGCTAACCTCCATGGTGTTAGTCAAAATTTTCAACAGTTTTTCTTTCTTACAAATAAGCCCTCACTGACCATATTTTGTACAGAATTTCAAAACAAACTAAAGGAACCCAGGCATTGAACTGAGCCTGAGAAATAAGCAAGACAGCTCTCCGGTGGCGAGGAAATGCAGAGTGGGAATATCGAGGAGGCATTAGTCAGTAAGAGGCTGTATCTTCAGGCTGCTTCACGTCCTGTAAACTTCATGGTATGCCCTGAACAAAATGGAAAGAAAGGCTTTGTGTACCCAAATCAAGGAAATAGCATGTGCCATTATTGCAGAAGGAACCTTGACTTTGGAATTTCCTGATTTTTGAGAACTCTTGAGGTTAAGAATGGTATGTTTTCAGCCTCAAAGAATTTTCCAACCACAAAGCAAACCACCAGAGAGTCCAGAAGAGTGTCAGGCCATACT